CCGCACTGCATTTGCTATGAAGTGAGTTCCTTGATCTGAAACAATGCTATGTGGGATGCCATGCCGGTGGATGAGGCATTCTGTAAGTCCAGGAATAGTAGTTTTGGCAGAAGCATCGCGTGCAGGGAAGGCAAATCCATATCCAGAGTAGGTGTCTATTCCAGTAAGAACAAAACGCTGTCCCCTCCATGATGGAAGTGGTCCTATGTAATCAACCTGCCACCAAGTTGCTGGTTGATCTCAGACCCCTCAGGAATGAAGGTCTGGGTCGGGGGCAATTCTACCCTGTCCTGTAGGGTTGCTGTGAGCGGCCGAGTCGGCATTGACTCGATGCCAGTGAGTTTGGAGTTTGGCTTACAGTGTCACGCTCGGACCAAATCCCTCCCCAGTCATGAAGCTGGACACGAAGGGAGCCCCGCGTGTGTTTGTCCATTCGTCCTCTCAGGAGTGGCCACCACCACCAGGCCCTGCTCCGTGGGGGATGGCCACCAAGATGAAGAGGTCATCGTCCTCAGACCCTGGATTCAGGAGGCTCAGACTAGAGCGCCCAAGGCAAACCGACGGAACTAACAGGGACGCCACACCACACCCCCGCATTGTGAACAAGATGTAAACAAGGGAACCACCCAGGACAACCGGTGAGGGGAGGCTTCAGAGAGGATGAGCCTTGAAAGGCAGGTGGGGTTTGCCAGATTGAACGACTGCAGGCGAAGGAACAGCATGTGCGAAGGCACAGAGGTCTAGGCTAAAGGTGTGGCCAGGGTGGCAGATACAGGTCCAACAAAGGCCATGCGCTGCTTGTTAGCTGCCTTTGAGTCCGCCTCCACTCGTGGTGCCCTTGTGTAGAAGAGGAAAGACTGCCGCCAGTGTGCCAGCTTCATGATGCTTGGCATGTTTGCGCCCACCACCACAGTTATTGTGGCCTGCCTTCCCACCTAGGGGTCTCCTGCTCATACTAACCCTGGCAGTATTTGTAGTGAGCCACTTGGCAGACACATGATTTTTCAGGGTCTTGAAGACCGAATGGGAGCCCTGGTGGCATGGTGGGCACGCACTGAGCTACTGACCTCAAGGTCAGCAGTTTGAAACCACCAGCTGCTCCACAGGAGAAAGATGGGGCGTTCGACTCTTGCAAAGAGTTTACCATCTCAGAAACCCTACCTTGGAGGGGTGCCACGAGTCAGAATGGACTCCCGGGCAGTGAGTTGGGTTTTGGGTTTGGGACACGG